GCCACAAAAACCTTTTAAATACTCTCCCTCCCCCAAATTATAACTTTTGATAATGCCTATTCAAAATAATGACAGGGAAATAGTTACACACTTCATCAGTTTCATTCCTTGGCTTATTAAGGATATCTGCAGTGTGAATGGACCGGAAACTGAGTCAGTGGCTCAGAATATTGGCAGCTGTCTGTTGAATGACTTTTTTTTCCTCTCTAGCTGTTAATTCTAGATAATTTTGCAGTAATTTATTTTCCCATCATATGATTTTCACATTGGCCAGACCTGGAGCAGATGAGCAGTTTTAGGATCACTGTGAACAACAACAGACAGAGCTTTGTACATAGTAGGGAGTTGGCACCTCGAATAATGGAAATCTATTTTAAGCTACCATAATTGTTTTATTAGCCCTGGAAGACTACTAGCTATCTTGGGCTTGCACAAAAGTGCCAATGTTTTTATGTTATGAAAAGGTTAGAATGATGTATAGCAGTATTAAAGTTCTGCATAACAATAAAGAGAAATCATTAAGACTGGAAGGTTTTTTTTTTGAAACCAGATTAGAGAACGAAATAAGAATCACCAAACCATCTGAAAATTTCCACATCTGTCTTGATCACAGTCATCTGTTAAGATTAACTTGAATTCCTTCTTTTTTTTAAACCCTCACCCGAGGATATTTTTCTATTTATCTTCAGATAGAGTGGGAGCGAGAGAGAGGGAGAGAAAGGGAGAGAGAGAGAAACATCATGGACACATCGACTGGCTGCCTCCCACACGACCCTGACTAGCGCCGGGACTGAACTGCAACCGAGGTCGGTGCTGTTGGCGGAATTGAACCCATGACTTATCGGTCTGCAGGCCAACGCTCTATTGCTGAGCCAAACTGGCCAGGGCTCCTTTATTTTTTGAGAAGCTCTTATGGGAAACTAAGTACTTTGTGGGTCATAATTTAGACATTTATTGCCAGTGTGTCCACGAAGGATGGCTGAGTCTTCCAAAGTGTGAAGGAGAGAAAGGACGCACCGAGGTCATCATTCCAGCCTTAGCTCTCCTTCCCCTTTCCTGCTGAGCACACCGCGGGCCCTACTCGATTCTGAGCAGACTCCTCGAGTGGGCTTAAAAAGATGCTGGCAAAAATATTCTGCTTTGCACTTCGTAGAGCTTTCTGTTTTTCAAAGTACATCAAAATACACTTTGATTACCTCATTTTACCCTCACCTTTATTTCTTCCTTTAAGTCTCAGGGCAGCCACACCAGCTTTGCTGACGTCACAAGGAAACCGTCTCAGTAGTGCAGGTGTCGGTAACCACTGCGAACTTTTATATGAAATGTGTGGGGAGAGAGGCCAGAACTGGGCCAGCAGAGGCTGCCTGGCTGCGGCCACACAGGGGCCTCCCGTAGATGAATGTGCCTGGTCCGGTGCATTCCTTCAGGCCTGGGCTCAGCCTACTGTGATAGCAGCACACCCAGAAGGAGCCATTGTGCAGTTCCACTCTCATCCATAGGTTTATAAAACCACAAAGCCAATGTATTAATTCATAAGGAGTAATACCATTGAGAGAGGCACGAACAAGAACATTTATGACTGCAAACACGTGTGTTCTTTCTCCTTAGAACCACGTGGGAAGTCAAGCCACAGCCAAGGCTTGCTTGGTGGGTCTGACAGGGGATTCCTTTGCCAACATAGCTTGAGGGGCTTTCTTCCCCAGTTTAGGGGTAACCTGATTGGCTCACGTAACCCAGCACTTTTAACATTGAACAGGCTTTGGCCTGGAGATTCTTTCTGAAGATGACTTTTGTGTTTCCACTCTGATTATGGGTTGATCTGATGGATGAACTCTCAGAGGGAAATTTTATTTTCCTTATCCCCAGATTCCTAGGTAACATCCTAGTTGGTTGCTTATACTGCTCCTATCCACACCCTTTTATTAAGAATATTGAGGTACAAAAAGGTAAATGACATTCTTTTAGAGATTCAACACTTCGTTACTGAGGACTCATCGCATGTCATGCTCCAAGGTGGCTTCCTGGGGACATAACTGTGCATAAAATATAATCTTTGTACACAAGGAGGCAGACAAATAAGCAATTACAGCAAAATTGGATACATTCACTATTGGAGAAGTAGAGGTCACCAAAGGTCATGTATTGTAAGGACACCTAATGCTGGTTACTGCTCCTTGTTTTGTTTTGAGCTATTTTGACTTTCCAATGTAATAACCAAGTAAAATATAGTTGAACAAGTAGTTTTTGAGATAAGAGTATAAAAAATTGATGGGCAAATTCACTTAGCAGCCAAGAGAACCTGGTAGGATGAGGAAATTTTAGCTATGCCTTCACTGTGGGAGATGTTCCTTGTCTTTGACAAAAACCATCAGGCACAAAGTGAAGAGAACACCTTGCAAGTTTCTGTTACTCTGTGGGAATAAAAAATTACCTTGGAAGCATAAATTGAAGTTAGATACCAGATGTCATAGATACAAAAAAAAAAAAAAATGTTTGAAAAGTGATAGAAAGTCTAGAAAAAAATACAAGAAAATAATTATCAGGGGGCAGTCTGGACATTGTCATGGGCAGTGTGATTGGGGCTTTATTTGACAACGTAAGAGTTTTATTTTTAATTAAAGTTTTTACTGCTGGAAATCCATTTGGTTCACTAAATTCAGCCATGTCAAAACTCCAACTGGGTCCTTTTAAATGTTTCAGGCTCTTGAAAAAAGTCAAAGAAATGCTTGGTTCAGAGATTTGACAAATTCATGAAAAGACTTCTGTGGAGTTTTAAAATATGTCTGTCTGCTTCTACTGCCTTAACTAGTGTTGGTGAATTAATATTATCTGAAAGAAACTCTATTTCCCAGTGTAGACTAACAACAACACAAAATTCCACCCATTTTAACTATTCTGAAGAAGTTATTAAAATAACACATCTTACTTTTTGCCTTTTAAATCAATTTTTTTAAGTTTTGATGTCAGCATTGAAGTTACATGAACTTGGATACTAGAAGAAACAGAGGCTAAAGCCCTACTAGAGTGTTACTTTGGACTGGTCATCATTTTGACAGATAATAGCTTTCTACAGTAAAATATGGTTATATACCTACCAAATTATAAAATAACAGAAAACTAAATGAACAAGAAAATGGTGAGCAGTTTGGCTTTCCAACTCAAGGAGCTCTGTTAATTTTCTTCAGTAATTATTTATTTTCATAAATAGGCTCTTTTGATATTTTAACCTAATTGTGTAAACAAGTATTTGCATGGTAAGTTCATTCTGATGCCTTAAGGTACATCAGAAGCAACTTGGACATCTGGAAACAGGCTATCAAAGTTAAATATACACGCCGTTTGAGCTAGCAGCTCCATTTCTAGGAATCTGTCCTGTAGATCTACTTACATGGGAGAGAAATGACATATGTACAATGTTTATTGCTAGTGTGTTTACAATGTCAAAAGATTAGACATAACGTAAATAGGAGGCTGTTTAAAGACAGGATGATAGATCAATTCTATGGAATACCAGGAAGTCGTAAAAAGGATTGAGAAAGGGCTTATGTGGAAAGATCTCAAAGATATATCCTTAAGTATATGTGTGCATAGTACGCAACCAAATTGTGTAGAGAATGACAAAAACAACATATATATGTATAAAAGTATAAATCTGTCTGTCTATCCATCCATCTATCATTTATCAATACACAAAAAACGAGTAACTGGTTGCTGGTGGCAGAGGAAGGGGAGAAGGAAAGAAAGTGTGGCCCTGCTCGGTTTGGCTCAGCAGTTAAAGTGTTGGTCTGTGGACTAAAGAGTCGAGGGTTCTATTCCTGTCAAGGGCACATGTATGTCTCAGTTGCCATTTGGCCCCCAGCCCTGGTTGGTCGTGCGGGAGGCAACTAATCGATGTGTCTCTCTCACCTCAATGTCTCTCTCTCTCCCCTCTTCCCTCCCACTCTATCTAAAGGTAAATGAAAAAATATCCATGGGTGAGGATTAAAAAAAAAAAAAAGAAAGTATGTGATGCTGTGGGAAGTGGTAGTCTGGGATATGGGGTAAGAGGGAGACATTTCACTGAATATCCTGTCATAGTTGAAAAAATTTCAATCATGTAAAGTATTCTTTATTTAGAAAATTAAATCCAAAAATAGTTTTTCTTATTGAAAGTTTTTCTAATTAAAAAATTTCATGAGAAGGTTTGATAGTATTTCTATTTTGACAAACTATACCAGTGTTCATGGACAAAAAACATATTCTTGATTGCACTTAAATCCTCCTTTTTGATTTTTTTTCTTAAGAAGCCACTACCCACTTCTTTACATCATAGGTCATCTCACTTCCATCCATGTTGTATTAAAAAGCAGAGACATCTATGAAGCAAAAACCACATGCATTATATAGGACTCAAGTTTCAATATAAAAACTAGAAAAGCAAGACCCCAGAACCCAGTGGAATAAAAGAGATACCATGATGCCATGGACATGACATTTCTTCTACTTTGAAGTTAGCTAAAGATAATAGTAGAAGAATTTGATACAGTCACAGAGTCATAGTAAAGGAAGACAGATTAGAACTCACCTAATTTGTAACTTTGCGTCTTGATAAAACTGTCTCTGAAATAAAGGATGCCATTGATATTCTTCTTCAGGACGTATTTCAACAATGTCCAATAGAAGGATATGTTTGCAGTCAGCTTCCAAACTCAAATTCTTTTTTTGCTACTTAACATTGTACTTAAAAATTTTTTTTCTCTCCTTTGCTCCTTCTTAACTATGCTTCAGCTCTTGTCCCCAAGAAATGGGAGCAGAAGAGTGATGAAAGGAAAGAAATAGAGTTGAGAGAAATGGGACAAAGGTGTCAGAATTGTAGGCAGGAAATTGAGTGAATGGTGAAAACGACCAAAATTCTTTCTAGACAGAGGGTTTGGTTCTCCTACTATAACAGAAAAGACTGTGTCTGTGTTTGCATTGCCTTTGACCAAATATAGACTAAAACATCTCTCCTTTTTAAATAGTAGGGACCACGCAGAGGCCCTCAACTCAGATCAAGGAAGTGCTTTCTCCGATACCAGAACTAGAAGTTCCTCCCACAATGCATCGGCACGAGCAGTATACATGGTGAGTCATGATTCGGCTTTACTGACAATTGAACTTTATTCATTATAAACAGGAAGAGGTCCAAGGAGTACTTCAAACTACATTTCTATTTGAGAGTAGGAGATAGAGAGGGATGAACTGGCAAAATTAGCTCATATAAATCTGATGACAGGAAATAAAATTACTTTTTTTCTCTCAGGTATAGGAAGGACCAGTAAACTAACCTCTTGGTCTGTTAATCAACATGTATCCCCAGATGTCACCTCATCCTTTAGCACTGTTTCCTGGGGCCGAGTCATTATTCTAGCAGGCCAATCATTTCAGTCTGAGCATGAGAAAAGAGAGAATGTAAATTTATAAAGCAGAACTGACCCTCAATTACTGAAATTAGAAACTTCTCTAAATTTAACATCTGATCATCTAGATTAATGCACATTGATTCTCATGTATTTGTTTTTAATGTTTTTATTGATTTTTTTTAAGAGAGAGAGGAAGGGAAAGACAGAATTGTCAATGTGAGAAACATCAATTGGTTGCCTCCTGTGTGCTCCCTACTGGGGATCGAGCCCACAACCCAGGACTGAGAATCAAACCAGGACTTCTCAGTCCATGGGCTGATGCTCAGTCCACTGAGCCACACCTGCCAGGCTGATTCCCATGTATTTGAATCAAAACTGTGGTCAGAGTGTCTCAGAAAAAATGTTCACTCATTCACAAATATTTAAGTAAACATTATGTTAAAGGCATCATTGGTAGCCATTGTAGAGGGTATAAAAATTGTAATAGGGAAGAGGAAGGATATTAGCATTTATTTGTATCCTTTGTGCTTGGTGGTGATGGGCTAGATCATTTACTCTTCATAATACTTGGGTAGTTATCAGTCAAGGTCCTAGTAGGAAATCGATGGTATACTCAAACTGAATAATTTGTAGAGAGTTTAATAAAGGGTCTATTAAGCTAGGATGTGGGAAAACCAAAAAGGAGAGTGTAACACCATAGGACCAGTAAGTGGGGGCACTACAACTGCCCTTAAGACTAAAGTAACCCAGAGAGACAGACACAGAGGCAGCCTCATGCGCACACATGCGTGGAGATGGAGTGTGTGCAGAGGGCTGCCTCACGGGAGCTGTGGCCTTTGGTCAGGGGACACAACAGCCTGCGGTTGCCATGAAGAGAGAGAACAGATATCCCAACTTGGCTGTCCTCCCTTGCCCTCATGTGCTTACTTCTGGACAAGAGCCAGAGGACACTGAAACTAGATTGAGGCAGTTCATATAGATTGACCACCCAGAGTACCAAGCAGGGTGGAAAAACTGGAGAGCAGATTTGGAAAGGCAATGGAAGGGATCCAGCATAGGTAGTTCAACACAGCGAACTGGAAACTGCCGAGGATATGTTTGTGTTCAGGACCAGAGAGAGACTAGTCTAGTCTTCATAGTTGGGTCTTAGTGCCATTAGGGTCTGCTCTTGGCTCAGAAATGTCTCAGTAGACTACAATGTAATCATATAATTGTTTTAATGGAATATTACTGGATATTATTATGCTTGATACTTTTCTCATTCTGGGATGTTCAACCTGGCATAGGAATTGCTCCCTTTTGTTCATTCACCAAAAGCTTATGCCAAGAATTCTGCTACTCATTGGCAAAAATAACCTTCAGTCAGTGGAGGAATCAGATTAGGGAACCCCTAATTCCAATAGAGTGTCAAGTAACATGTTAAGGGTATTAAGAGAGAACTTGAGGGGCATCATGAAAAGCTCCCTCATTCAGAGAGTATGTTGCCTAACATTTAATAGATGCTCAATAAGTATTTTTTTTTGAGTGAATGATTAAGGCCTAGCATCTATGTCTTTCTAATAGAATCATGGATTGTTATAACCAAAAGAAACTGTGTGAACAGTTATACTTTAATTTTATGGAAGTGGCAAATAATCCAAACTCTGTAGTGACAGAGGCTAGAGAAAACTCTAGGTTTCCTGAGTCCTAGGCTGAGAAGTTTATTACCATTAAACACACTGTCTTTTTTGATATAATGGAGTCTCCATTGCATAATGTAGGACTGGACAGAGCCCTTAATCAGTGCCTTTAGGAAGATTTTTGGTGTTCTTTATAGGACACAACTTTGATCAATCGTTTTTAAATTGTTTTCCACTAATTCTTTTCAGGTAATACTTAAAACTTTTGTGTGATTAATATTTGCCTTTTTTTTTTTCTTTTTCTTAATTTTCAGAATATCCTTCTGAAGTTCTCTGGATAGTTTGGACCAAACCCTTTTAAAGAATACTCATAATTTTATTTGGGGAGCGAGTTAACTGGTAAATATATAAATCCAGTTGAGGATGCACAGTAGGAAATAGCAGGAATGCTGACCAGTTGATGAAAACTAGCTCGGGAGCACTCATTGGACCCATGAGATCAAAGAAATGAGAAGTTGCTTTTTTTAGGAAGCCATTATGAGTCATGGAAACAAGCTGATGAAACCCGTGGAAATAGCAAGAGAATGCTTACTCTCCTTGTTTATTCATCATCATACAGCTTACATAATGGCCCCAAGATTTTTTTGAGGAATCAAAAACAGGGTCAAAGATGAAAATCTTTTCTCTCCTTGGCTCACGTTGTAGATTCTGATTTGATGGGTTTTCCTGGGAAGATGGATAGTTTCTCTTCAGAGGGCCTGGGTTGTCTGTGTATACAAGTACTTGTATTTATAATCTTGCCTCCTTTTGGCACTGAGGATGTTTTAAAAAATTCAAAGATACGAAAATAAAATGAATTTAAGTGAAATATTAAGAGAAATTTCAATATTTAAATTTAATAGCAAAATGTGTCCTCTGGTTCTTTTGGCTTTCATATTTTTATAGCTGTCACTGCTGTTAGGAATAATTATTAATTACAAGAAAAGCACATAGAGATAAGGGGGTAGTTCTTCTCATTAGAAGTTATAAAACTACTGTCCCAGTGTCCAGGTGGAATCAAATCTGCTGGCATTATTATTTGGTTAAAGTTGCTTAGCTGAGTAAATTTCCATACTTGGGAATTCTGCTAGTCTCACATATGCTTGTCTGTGTAGCCCTGATTAATAGGTGAGTCACGCTCAGGTCTGGAATATTCAGCAGGAGTTTAGGGATGTCACACTCCATGAGGTATGGATATTATACAATTTCCGAGAAGCCAAGTGATTGTTTCCTTGCATATCCCCTATTATGTTCAGACAAGTGACTTGGAAATCAATGGGAACTTGGCCTACAAAAGGCATAGATTAAACTTCAAGTCCTGTTCAATTGTGTCAGCTTTTAGGAAGCTAATTTCACTTATTTATTAAAATAATAGATTTTAACAGATACTATGAAGCATTCAGAGATCTATTTGGCCTGCTCTCTGCCCACAGAGTTTACAGTCTGGGAGAGGAGATTAAACATATATACCACTGGTTATAATACTAGATACAATATGGTGTGGTAAGTGTGTCATTAATAGGCTCCATACTTCCTGCTGAGGATTCACAGGTCAATAGTATCTGTTAAAGGTTATTCTCTTTTCTGTCTACATCTTTCTTAAGAATCTCCAGCTATTCATACTATGCTAATGGATGGTGATTTTAGGATGACTAGAAGTAAGTTCTTACATTTAAAAAATCTAAATAAGGTATGTTATCATATTACCCTAGAGGTATGACAGCCAAAAGAATACATTTAAAAAAATCTCTGTGAAATAGTGATCCTATACTTTAGTAAAGACGGGGTAGTGAAGAAGCTTCCGTGGTTTGAAGGACAAGATGAAGTATGTGTGCATGAATGGGAGAAAACAGAACATTTTGGCAAAAAATAGTACTTCATAAAATCTTCTGAAGAGTTATTTTCTACGTCCCTGAGAGTTAATGCTGTTACCAAAAGAAAATATGGAGATAACATGGCTGCTTACTAGAAGAATATTGTTTCTGGGTTATTAGTTAAGATACATTCATCTTCAAATAACAGCAGGCCCTGGTCAAAATATCTTAAACAATAAGAAGAGTTATTACCATACCTAACAGAGATTCTGAGTAGTGCTTCCAGGGTTAGTTAATTCAAGAATTCACATCATCAATCATCCAAGTTCTTTCCTCTCTTCTCTGCCATCTTCAGCTTGTTTTTGTCTTCAGGATTCCCCTGTCATGATTTCAAGAAGTGATTTTAGCCCTGGCCGGTTTGGCTCAGCGGTTAGAGCGTCGGCCTGTGGTCCAGAGAGACCCAGGTTCGGTTCCCACTAAGGGCACCTTGGTTGCAGTTTGTCCCCAGCCCTGGTTGGGTCAAGCAGGTGGCAGCCACTCGATGTGTCCCTTTCACGTCGATGTTTCTCTCTCTCTCTCCCTTCCCCTCCCACTCTATCTGAACAAAAAATGGAAAAATGTCCTCAGGTGAGGATAAAAAATAGAAGCGATTTTATTAAATGTTAGTATCACAGCACAACAATCATCACATCCTTATACCACAATGTTCTTTTTAAGTAAAGAAACCTTGACAAGTCCCTCTATGCCTTGCCCACCTCCATCCTCATGCCAGAACATCTGGAAAAGAATCACCCACCCTTAACCCAACCAGTGACAGGGGCTGGAACCATGAGGATGTGAAGGATCAAGATTTGCCTGTTCTTACGGAGAGGAGAGGAACTCCCGTCAGAATGAAAGCAGCTCTGTTAACTCGGCGCAGAGGTGCTGCGGGCCTCTGCGGGCGCCCGCCTCAGTTCCAAGATGTGCAGAGAGACTCTGACCAAACACAAAACACAAGCTTGTTCCCCCACCCCCTTAACAGACCCTTGAGGTGTGCTAGGTTGTCCCTCAAGCATGTGTCATTGTCCGGCACTTCGTCATGGGTGTCCATGATGTTGTCATGGGGCCATTATCTGCCTCCAAAGATACATCTATTGTCAGACGGAAATAGCCCATCTATTTTCACATAGAAAAGGAATATCAGAATGAAATATCACAAAGGCAGACACGATGTTTGTAGTAAAGAGCTGCACAATAGTCGTTACCCTTCTCTCATAACCCTACACCAATTGCCTCTTAGGAATTACCTCTCACCCATTGAATGACGTCTTCTTGGTGGGACTGTAAATCAAGGTTTCTTGCCCACCAGCTGAGGAGTGGCATGTGACCTGAGCTGGGCCCCTTCGACCCTCTATTTTTGATTTATGGGTGCAGTGACATAAGGGTGGAAAAATGATTGAAGTCCTGCCGGTTTTGCTCAGTGGTTAGAGAGTCAGCCTGCAGACCAATGAGTCGCGGGATCGATTCTGGTCAAGGGCACATACCTCAGTTGTGGTTCGTCCCCGGCCCTGGTCGGGTGCAGGAGGCAACCAGTCAATGTGTCTCTCTCACATCGATGTTTCCTTCTCTCTCTCCCTCCCTCTCACTCTATCTGAAAATAAACAGAAACATCCTCGGGTGAGGATAAACCAGAAATGATTGGAGCTCGTTCATTTCAGTGGCAGAGTTGAGCGGTTTCTGCTTTGAGATACCCCAATACACCTCCTATGGCCACCAAACTGCCTTGGCTCTGAGCCTGGTTCTCCACCTTTCATTTGATTCTGTGAGCTACCAGTACTATCTTGGTAAAATGATCTTTTTCCTGCTTATATTTCCTGAATTGGTTTCTGTTGCCTGCTAGATACAAAATCTATTTGATTTCCTAAATTCATAGAATGTCTCAACTGTAAGAAACCTTATAAATCATCCGGCTCAACCCCCATTTTATAGTCGAGAAACCGAAGCCCAGAGCTTGAGGGTTTCACCCAAGATCACATCACAGAGTTCATCAGTGACAGAACTTTAAATAAAACGATGTCTCCTTTGCTCATGGTAGTTCAGTCTGCTCCTAGTTTTAATCCCTTTTCTGTATAAACCAGTCAGTCTCTCTCTCTCTCTCTCTCTCTCTCTCTCTCCTCCCCCCTCTCATACTTAATAGAGAATAGAGACTTAAAAATCTTCATTTTTATTTCAAACTGACAATTTGCTTTGCATAGTTTAAAAACTTGTTTCACAGACTGTCCTTTCAGAGATTTGGCATCTGGTAAAGATAGACATCAGTTTACATCCTTATATGGAACCTCGTTTCTTAGCAGCTATCTCGAAACATTTGGCAAGGAAGTGGTGTGCTCTAGGAAAACACGCGGGCTAGGGTTCTGACAGTGATTGCTTACCGCTCCTAAGTCTAGCTTCCAGCTGTGTGCATGTGGGGAGAACCTTCCTGGACTACACTGAAAGATATGTATCTGCTCTATTTTTTATAGCTCATACAACCTGTCAAAATAGCCCAAAATTGGAGTAGAGGGGATTAATAATAATACTGCTACAGGATAGGAGAGGGGCTCATCTCCCCCTCACTGCTGCTGGGGGTGGAGTTCTTGGGGTACTGCTGGAATAAGTATTTCCAGAGGCCCCCTCTAGAGGATGAGATATGATAGAAAGCCTTATTTCAGTGGAATTACACTGCTGGGTTTCCGAAGTCCCATTTCCCACGCATAGACGTACAGCTGGGGTTGCAGTATAGCAAAAATCAGAGCCAGTGTTCAGAATTTCCTTTCCATTTTGGAGTAGGATCCAGTCCAGCAGCAGGCTGGCTTAGCTAGCGTTTCCCGCTGCCATCCGTCAGTCCATTGCATGTGGGGGTCCACATGGCACATGGCCATGGGCCACACAAGCAAATGCAAGAGAACCAAGAGAGTGCGCCCCGAGCGACATAAACAACAAAAGCCAAGAGAGAGAACTTCTTCATTTAGGGGATTATGTATTCTCAAAGTTTTATGCACTTGCAGTGGCCACACCCACTCTGGCCAACCATCTCTGTGCCCAGGTGTGATTGACAGGAAAGTACCTTCCCTATATCACCCCAACTTCACTGGGCATGCGTCTATCTTCCCTTTGTTGGATCCCTTCCCTCCCCGGGGAGTGCACAGTTGCAGATTCCTGGTGAAGCTGCCCAAATGACACACCTATAATGTCTGGCCTTCCCTTTGCTTCGTTTCTATTATTAATAACTAGCTAATTACAATGGTATCATTAATACTAATCATGTACCAGACTATTTTAAGCACTTGGCATCTTAATTAGTTTATTCTTATCTTACAACATGGGTAGGTAAGTTCTATTATCATCTCCCCAATTTATAGGTGAGGAAATTAAAGTAGAGAGAGTTTAAGTAACTTGCTTCAAGTCACACAGCTTTTAAGTGGCAGAGTTGAGATTTCAACCCAGGTGGTCTGGTTTCAAAGTTTATGCTCTTAACCCTCTGCTTTGTTGCTTCTAATCACAGACTCTCTCTCTCTCTCTCTCTCTCTCGATACAAGTAGATTACTATTTTATTATTAGGGGAAAAAATTGTCCAGTGCAGACAAATGACTTTTCATAAA